GGTTGAGATGATTGAAAAAATTGACATGGTATGGTCCATCCTATACAAAGTTATGGACTTCAATATTTAGATTCAAACATTTTTATATAGAAATATTAGTAAGTAAGAATTATTAAGACATGTTCAAGAAGACTCCTATGTCTACTATTTGAAGACAACCTTGTATCTTCCTTAAAACTCAAACATGCATGAATCGTTCTCAAAGTTCGAGTTTGTACATTTTTGCTTGTTTTGTCTCCTTTAAACTCTGCTCATATGTATTTATCAGGCTTTTTGTCCTCTTTCGAACTCTTGGGTGTGAACAAAATCCTTCTTCCAAATCACACTAATAATGTATTTCCAGTGCTGGCACCTTTCACCTCTTACGCCTATCATCCCAGTCTTTCTGTACAAACAACAGGGGCAGACATCTTGGGTGTCCAGTCCCTTTGTGCAGCTTTATCTCAGAGCTTCCCCTTGACAACACTATGCTTATTTTCCAGGAGTCTTGTTATGCTTGGCTTTTTCACACCGCAGCTCATGTCTGTCCCGTACTTTCTTCTCACTCACTCCACTCGCATATAGAATGAGTTGCCTTGTACTCTCGCCTGCTGCTGTCGCATTGACCTCATGCCTCCCTGCGTATGATTTTATTACGCAGCCGTCCAGGAAAAGGGTTAGGGTTAGGGTCAAGAAGCCGAAGAGCGGAGTGTGCAAGTATCTAACTGGAGTGTATAACTTAAGTAAATAGAGATCAATCCTCAAGATTAGCAAGTTTTGGTCCTCTCGGGACAGGCGTTGTAAAAGAGGAAACCCAGGCTGAAATGTTTGCATGGATTTGGGGACCAATCACAGAACAGGGAGGGAAGGGAAGACAATGATGATGCACTGTTGGGCAAGTGGAAGCTTGTTTGTTTACAGATCCAACATGACGGCAGCAGTCTATGCCTTCTTGTTTTTTGTTAGAATTTGTATGATTGGTGCATACATGCAGGCGTATATGATAGATGTTGGTTATGTACAGTCATTGACCACACCTTTAGTGTGAGAAAATTTGGGATGGTTCCTAGACTAAAGTATGTTGGTAGAAAACCCACAGATTTCAGAAGGAGGAAAAATGTTACCTCCGAATCTAATCTTTGTTGTTGGTTCCCTTTCAGCTGAGTATGTGCCGTTAACATTATGGTCTATGGTAAAAGCTTCTGTGTAGCTTATTAGAATTTCTGAGGAAAGGTGCTTGAGCTTGCGATACCCTCTCGAGTTATTTCATGGAAGCAATGACCTCTCGAAGATGTCGTTGAATCAATTTCAAAGTTTGGCACACTTCAGTGTCAGTGGTTAATGTGCACGGCCGCGATGCGAGCGGGTGTAGCAGAGATGCAAACACTTGCATTGAACCACATCCGAAAATTAATTTGCAAAACTCCAGGTGTTAGATTCCGGAGTGTAGCCCAGGTGCCTGATGGGAATGCCAGATCTGGAGTCGCTGATTGATGACAGCGGGGTTCTGAGATGAGTGGAGCTTCACTTGTGTCGGATGTTTCTTGTGTATTTTACAAGGGCTGGATTTCTAAGCGTTGGTCTGGTAATGCAATGAAGGACAAGGACAGGAGTAGGCAGGTTTATATGCCGTAAAAGCAGCCATGGGTAGAGGAGAGAGTCAAGCTACAATATTAACTTATGTTCGAATGATTGAGTATGCATACCAGAACTCCCTTTTGCATTAGCTGACATTGTTGCAGGACTCATTCAAAAATTAAATACGGTATCTGCTGTGTCCTTTTATACCCAAAACTCAATCAATTCTAATCTATTGCACATCAAATAGTAACTCTCATGCCTCAAACTCGTCAAAACAAATTTGTGTACTCTGTATTTTATGAATGACAAAAACTAAATGTGATCATATTTATCACAATGCAACATCTGTGTTGTGCTACTGTGGAAGATTACAGCAACATTAATAACATTTCCATGGAAACAAGCGGGAAATCCGAGCCAGGTTTTACTTCATGGTTTCATGAAATTAAAGCTGGGGTACCTACTATATGTTTCTTTTCCTCTTACATAGGCCATGTTGTTAAAAAGGTGGTCTAAACGTAGAATCCGACCAGAGCAATTCCATCTTATCAACAAGTTTCCTTTTATTTATTTGTAAGAACGAGCCTGAGAGCTGATTGGCTGAAGTGTACTGTACACAGTAGGACTTTATATGCATGTGGACACCCCTAAAGGAAAACAAAATTATATAGCATTGAAAAATGGGGCACAAAAGTAGAGAGAGCGTAAAGATAGCTACTCTTTTCGAGACGATAAAGGCAGCGAGCTACTCCTTTAAGCGGCCCTGGGAAAAACAGGGTGATATGTTGGTGTGAACAAGCCTGATATTGGGTACAGTCATTATTTTTCATTGCAGATTTGTTACTAGTGACAAAGTAAGTGCATTTACGATAATGAATAATGATAATGAACAATACAATCTGAAATGTTAAGTATTATTTGATTTGTTCCTTTCTAAATCCTTTGTCGAGCTACTCGTGGCTCCTGAGCTACAGGTTGGAGACCCCTGATATACATAGATATACTGATAGCATTTTCAGCTAGTTGAGAAGCATAGCAGCTACTTATCTGTATGTGTTGTGTTCTCCTTGTGTAATCTGTCCTGTATGTGCGCTGCAACATCGACATTTCCCCACTGTGGGACTAATACATTTTCTCTTATCTCATCTTTCAAGCTTACCTATCAAAACCCCGTGCAACATTTATTCACGTCACCGTCATGTGAAGCCTCGGAGACGTCGGTCACTGGCGCGTCAGTTTTTTCGGACAGGAACTTAAGCTAAAGCAACGCCTCTTCCACAAGCCTGCCCTTTGTGCGGCCGGAATCAAACGCATCGCGCTCACAACAGGCATGACTGAAAGAGTTCCTTTTAGCTTTGCTCTTATCCCACTGTAACCAGAGCTCTCCCCTTCGGTCAGCGCCACTTTTTGATGTCGCGTTTTGTCTTCTGGCAGAGCGAGGCCGCCGTCTGATCTCCCATTGTCCGCAGCATAAATATAAACGTCAGCCGCTGTCACCAGTTCTTTTCAGTTGTCGTGACGCGTCATGGGCCTCTCCTCTGCAGTTCCAAGCGCTCACCGCGGCTATCGCATGTGTCGCGCTGCATGTTCTGGTCTGAGGTAACAGAGGGTCTATTAGCTGCATTTATAAAAGAACACTAGCCCCCCCCCCGCAGAAGTCACCCGGGGGCTTCTTCGTCACGCCAAGATTCGTTCCAGTGTGACTTGTGAGTGGCCCTGTTGAATAAAAATAATAATAATAATGATAATACATTGGTGTTTTGGTGGTGATGAAGAGAAATTTGTCATCTGTTGCTCCATCAGAACTATTAATGCATTTATATTTCATTTATTTACTAAAAATATCTATATATGATTCTTTTTTAAAGAATGTGTTTCATTTTTCTTAGATTTGGACAAAAATAGATATTTATCTAAAACATTTGTTAACACACCCCAAACAATGCCAAAGATGGCCAAAGTAAAGCCAGATCTCATCAGACTTAAGAAGCAAAGCAAGGCAGGGCCTGGTTAGTACTGTGATGGGAGACCTCTGCGAACACCAGATGCCAAGTGGGGCAGCGAGTGTCCAAAAAAGGGCCTTTTAAAACAGATGCATTATTATTATTATCATTAATTATGTCCATCGTATCTTTCTGATTTCCTTTTAAAAATGAGCTATTCAAATCAAACGGTCGGATTACAATGATTAGTAAATATAATATTTTGTTGTTGTTGCATTTTCACTTCTCTCTATCTTCATCTACTCACTCTTGCTGCTGTGGAGAGAACAAGGTCTGCATTGACTCAGAAAAGCTCCTTCATTCATGCTCGACAAGCAGTTAAATTTGATCTCGAGACAGAACACGCTAACATGTGTGGTAAACAATCTGATTTCCGAACTGTTAGAGACAACTTTGAAGTTTGTAATCATGAGTCCTGAGAAAGTAGCGGCAGATGAAAGCTCAGATATCCCCGCGACCTTTGCCTGCACTTTGAAAACGGTCTGCAATCTGTCACTTTTCTGCTTTGGCTCTTGTGGAGCAGCAACCGTCACAATCAACACACGTTATTTGTTTTTCATTGCTAACTTACACTAAAGACAGAAGAGTGAGCTGATGAAAGGGAATCAATTTGGAATACTAGCTTTAGTTTGATACGTTGTCGGTCGTAGATCAAAACTTATGTATCGACCGCAAATGAGGAACATGTTCTCTGCTGCTGTGGTGCGTCTAAACAAACAGGAGATAAATAGCACATTCTTTCTTTTTTAATCACTTTACAAAAGGTACAAATGGATATAATTTCAATCTTTCGATTTTCTTTTGATTTTTCTGATGCGGAGTTGCCAAGGCAGTAAACTGAGCAGATATGCCCAGCCTTCTCTATCCCACATTCAAACTCTTCCCATTCATCCAGGGGAATCCTGAGGCATTCCCAGGCCAGTTGTGAGATTTACTCTGCCGCGTGTCCTGGTTCTTCCCCAGTCTAGTGGCGACATACTGGAACACCTCCCAGGGTATTGTCTGGGAAGAATTCCAAAGAGATACCCGACCCACCATAGCTGGTTTCTCTTATAGTCTGTAAAATTTGCATATAAAATGATTTTCTGGTACAAAAGTGGTTTTTAGATGTCAAACAGCCTTAATCTCTGACAATGTTCAAATCCAGATAAAAAAAAAAAAAAACAGGCCTGTTTTGCAGTTCATACAACTGAAAGATTGTGTCTTCACACTTTATAATGTACTGTGATTATTTAAGATCTTGCCAATATCATAAAACAAGAGAACATATTGAGATTAATCTTCTTCTTATGCAAAGAGACGGGATATTTTAAAAATCTAATTAAACTCATGAAGAGAACCTGAGGTAGGTACTGTAGTTCTAAGTGAAGGAGACAAAGTACTTGGGCACCGCTCGAGTCCCCTTTTTCTCATTCTGTTTTTTGTTTGTGTCCACAGGGGCCTAACGCTCTGGTGACCTACACCATCATCAGTGGGGCGGATGACAGTTTCCGCGTGGACCCAGAATCCGGAGACCTGATCGCCACCAAGAAGCTGGACCGAGAGCGCCGCTCCAAGTACTCGCTCCTGGTGCGCGCTGATGACGGTCAGCAGTCCTCAGACATGCGCCTCAACATCACCGTGGAGGACGTCAACGACCACACGCCCAAGTTCTCCCGCCTCACCTACTCCTTCGACATCCCAGAGGACATGGCTCCAGGTGGGAGGTTTACTGCGTACAGGTTTAACCATTATGAACCATTGTGGTATGTCGAACTGGCAGATGACATCCATCCATCGATCCATTTTCTTACCCTAAATCCATTTCTGCTCCGTGTACTGCACCCAGTACACAGAGCACCAGAACATAATCATAAATATAACATATAGAAGCAGATGTAGCCGTTATGAATTTAGAATCGGAAAAGGTCTTTCAGTAACTGTGTGTAGGTAAGTTAAATATAAGGAGTAGAAAGTACAGATTTTTGGGATTATATGGTTACCTAACTAAACCCTCACTAACTAACAGCTAATTAATTGTGAATTAGTGTATAATGTATGGTTAATTATTAGCTCTTAATTGGTATTTAATGGAGTGCTTATTAGTCCTTAGTCGACATGGCCCTATTCCACATGCAACTAACCACTAACTGACACTTTCCCATGTGGGTTAGGGTTACGATTAAGGGTACACTATTTAACACTTGATCAGCCTTAGGTGTGGGCTAGTGAGGGCTGTTTAAAACAATTTTTTTTCAAGAAAGGTAATGTACTTATGTAAAAATACTTGCACTACTGCAGTAAACTCTGTAATGCAAAGACTGTCCTCCTTCAAGAGTTATCTCCTGCTGCTGGATGCATTAGCCCTTGCATATCGGAGGTTGTTTTTTCTTTTCAAGCTATCCGTAAATTATAAAGTAGGTTTGAATGAAATTGAATGAAAAAAAAAAACTGTACATGGTTAAGCAGCGATTCTGTATTCTGTGTATGCTGCTGTGCTCACAATTAGGGATAAAACATTTGCATTTCAAAGTGAGAGAAAAAATTAAAAACAACAAGTAAACATTTGTCAATAGAAGTTGCGAATTTTTTGTTTTGTTTTTGTTCTTCTTTCAAAAATGTGCATATTTTGGAAATGATGCCGCAGAATTTTAGATCATTAATAATCATTAATTCCAGACTAAACAGATGTTTAGGGGAATTTTTCGGTCCATCATTGAAAAGTGATGGCTTAATGAGGCGACACTAACACTTTTTTGCCGCTTTTAGAAACTGATTTTCAACTTGTCCTTATGTCGTGGCATTTCCACTGCAGATGAATCTTACTGAATGAATTGTATATCTCTATTTTACCAAGCAGTCTCTCAGTCTGCTTCACTTTCCTTCTGTGGAACACATCAAAACTGCGCTCTTGATCCTTTGTTGAAAGATTTTTTTCTTATTTATACATTCATAAAGCTTTATGAGTTGCTGAAACACTACCAAACCCACTGCATTTTCCTTTGGGGCTAGATAACAAACGCCAGAGGTCAGTGGTCGCAAAGGTGACCCCTGATTTATATGGAAATACATGAGTAACAAGCTCAATTTACTATAGCACTGACAATTGTCTGGCGAGACTAGTTCACCTTTTGCTCTTTCACTTTACAAGAACAAAAATCGCATTGTGTGGCTGTTTCATTTGGACGCAACTTTGCCTTAAAGTCAGGTCACTTCTTGGGTTATCTCCGCTGCTTGGCTTTAAAACTTGCATGGAATAACACAGCAGCCAAAAGTGCTGCGTATTATGTTATTATAGGAAAAAGGCGAGGATAGATGGCTCCAATCGTATCAATAAAGTTTTCTTAACAACACTCTGAAGGTGTGTTAAAGTCGCAATTGCCTGTCTACGGCTCAGACATACAGTATTGTGCTGCTGTCTGCTGTATGATACTGTGGCTCAACTAGGGCTGGCTATTTTGTACAGTTTGCCGATACAGTATGTCCCCCGAGACATAAACCACAATAAAATACAAAGTCTACCGAGAAGCACCAGTTTGATTCAATAAACTATATTTGGAAATTGATTCAGTAAAAAATAATGGCTTGTTAAGATTATTGGTGCATTTATCTTCCATTTATTGAAGAAAATTGGATAACTCGCTTTGTTCTGATTTCATTTGATTGAGCAAGTAAAGTATATGTAAACTCGGGCTCGCATTGGTGAAACCTGAATCAAAACATTTCTACTCATATCACGCTGACATGAAACTACATAAAATAAATCCTACTGTGACAGGGTCAGCAGATGCATTTAAGAGCACTGGCAAAAGCTGTACTTATATTAGCTTGGGGTAGAGCTGCTGCTTCTCTGCGTCGAGAGGAGCCAGTTGAGGTGGCTTGGGCATCTGTTCGGGATGCCTCCTGGATGCCTACCTGGGGAGGTGTTCTGGACATGTCCCACTGGAAGGAGACCAGGGGAAGACCGAGGACACAGAGCAACTGTGTCTCTCAGCTGGCCTGGGAACGCCTCAGATTTCCCCAGATGAGCTGGAGGAGGTGTGTGTCTATTAAAAGGAGCACAGGGACTTAGCCTCCTGCTGGTGCCTAGAGTCAGGACTAAACATGGAGAGGCAGCGTTTCAGTTTGTTGCAGTCAAATTCTGTCTTTCTTAAAATGTCAGACAGGCTTTTTCTCTGACAATGTTCGAATCAAGGTTCAAAACAGTTCTGTTTAGCTGTGCTGAGAGTTTGATGCCCTCTGTTATTGTTTTGTTAAGTACTTTGAGTTGCTTTGTGTATGAACTGTGCTATACAAATAACCTTGCCTGCCTTTAAAGTCCATGTTGTTTGATAGAGAACCTCGGCTAACACTACATCTGCTGCTCACAGGTTCCATCGTGGCGGCGGTCCTGGCCAGCGACTCGGACTCCGGGGTGAACGGGGAGGTGACGTACTCTCTGGAGGAGGACGATGAAGACGGAACCTTCATCCTGAACCCGGTGACCGGAGTCTTCAACGTCACGCGGCCTTTGGATTACGAGACGCAGCAGTATTACATTCTCACGGCAAAGGCACAAGACGGCGGGAGGCAGGCCAGCACGGTGCGCGTCTACTTCAACGTCCTGGATGTGAACGACAACCCGCCCATCTTCAACACCACGGTCTACAGTGCGTCTGTGTCGGAAAACGTGCCGCCCGGAGCTAGCTTAGTGACCGTAGGCGCCACTGATGCTGATGATGGTGGGTCTTTCGTCATTACAGTAAATTAATATTATTCTTAGCTCACATAATGGTATTCTAGGATGCTTAGGTGCAAGCTATGTATATATTTGGACTAATAAATGTTGTTGTGTTAGCTAGACTATTTCCAGTTCCAACACCAGAACTCCCAGAGCAGTTAATCTGACGCCTTTTAGTCTTTAACATTTTTGATCTTCATAACATTTTCATGGGGACAAAATAGTGTACCGTAAATGCAGACGGAAATCTCATTGGGGAGACCAGCAAGAAGCTCCTGGCTTTGAATCCCGGTCGGTACAGGGTCTTTCTGAGTGGAGTTTGCATGTTCTCCCCGTGTCTGCGTAGGTTTCCTCCGGGTGCCTCCTGTACTGGCGACCCCCACTCTCTGTGTGGAGTAGGAAACGAATGCCCATCTAAAGCGCTTTGTGACTCTGGTCTGTGAAAGGCACTTTATAAATACAGATTGCTTACGACTACTACTCTACACCTCTAAGTTTAACCATGATCCAAAAACAAGCTAAGGACCTACTCTACTCCACAAGCGGCTTGACTGAGAAGGAAAAATATATGAAGATCTTTGATGATATTTTGAGTTGCTGCACAGAACATATAAATCAAGTGCAAGTTTCTGAGTAGGTTAATATAATGCATGGCTGTCATCGTGTTATGACTTTTGGTTTACACAGCAGCTTCCAGACCTATATTTTTATTCTCATACTGTATATACTTAGTGTTCTGCATGAATGCTCTGATGAAAAAAGACATGTATTATTAAGAAGACAGAGCTATTTTTGCTCTTCAGGTGGTTGTTTATGGACTGTGTGGTATTTTATTTTCCCTTTCCTTGGTTGTAATTAGCTTTCCACACAAGCCTAATGTGGTTATTGCGACCTACATTCCAAGGAAATATGCACAAGTTCAGCTTCTCACAAGTCTCCCCCTCCCTGTGTGTCAGAAAGCATACTGATACAGGCAGTCAAAATAGGGCCCCGCCATTGTTAGCACTTCCTAATCCAGGACCCATGAACTGTGACCTGCTAAGCGGTAAAGTATGTGTACAGGATTTTAAATAGATCACTTGTACTCCAGAAAAAAGTACTGCAGAAATTATACACTGCCCACGTCCAGTAATCCACTCTATTCAATAGTTAAGGACTTCTTAATTATTAGGTGCATCTTAGTGATATCTGAATCTTTAGTTCTTTAGCAAAAATGTCCACAATGCATCTTGAAAAGTATCGCTGTATAAGCCTAAACCCCTTTTGGTCAGGCCTTACTTAGGACAAAACATTTTAAGACACACATACGTCTTTCTTCATGTAAAATGTATAAAAAAATTTTGAAAACATGTGACCTAAAATCAAATATTTATAATGACAGGACAAATAAAATACTATGAAAGAAGTGATGTCCTACTCTGGTCACTTGACTGGTTATGGCTGTAATGCATTCCAAGATTAGGAAAACAACACATGACAGTGCAAGGTTTGTTTTTTTTGTCACTTGGGCACCATGGAACTGATTGACAGCTGGGAGAAGCTTTTTAAACACTGCTGAGCCAAAATGATTTATCAGTCTAAAATATAGGTCTGTTTTGATGTTATACTGTAGCTATGAATCTCTATATGTTTGGTTTGGGTCACAGTAGAGTAAGCACATTCTTGGAATTAAGGGTTCTGTACTATCTGTGTAGAAGTGGCTTTTGATACCAATCGGTCGTGCTGTGAGCAGATGGAGGCCTCCAAGGACAGGAGCGTCAAGGATTGGATGAACACAATTAGTGGAAATGGATGTTGATAATGGCTTTAAGTGGGCAGCAAAGAGAACAATCTCTTGTTCAACAATTTGTGACATTGGCAATTATCAGCACCTACATGACCTTTATTGAAAGTGCATATAATGTTATCTGCAAGGATATAAGGAAGGTCTCGTGGTTAGAAAAAACATCCAAAAATATCCAATCACGATTCAAAGGATACAACTTATAAAATCAAACATTTATTCCGTCTGTCCTAGTCCCAGACCACATTGAAATGTTTGTGATTAGATATGGTACACTGAAGAGAGTGACCAGAGAGTGACCAGAGAGAGACCAGGAAGAGACCACACAAGAGACCACAGAGAGAGATGAGGGAGAGACCAGGTAGAGACCAGAGAGAAACCAGATAGAGAGACTGGAGAGAGACCAGCTTTCAGCTTGTTATATTCAAGTGCTCAAATGTGAGCCCAAACATCCACATGACCAGAAACCAGTACCTAAGTAGACTTAAAATCGGTAACGTGAAGTGTCTGTATCCTAATAGGGCATCTATGCTGCCACTGTTTGGCTGGTAAACACGACAGCGCTGTTGGCAATTTGAGGATAAAATTGACCATAATCACATTTTTTTCAATTACGTTCCTCTCTGGAGCGCTGCAGACAAGTGACCTAAAAATACCAACACTCACAATCAAACTAACTTTTGTTTTGCTTTTTAGGTCTGAATGCCCAGCTTCTCTACACCATTGCATCTGGTGATCCCATGGGACACTTTACCATGAGTAAAGATGGCGTCCTCAAGAGTAAGAAAGCTTTGGATAGGGAAAAGCAGTCTTTCTACAACTTGGTGATCACCGTGAACGATCTGGCCCCGTCGGCGATGGCTCGTTTCACCAGCACCGCCCAGGTGTCCATCATCCTCCTCGATGTCAATGACTGTGCGCCAACTTTCACTTCGCAAAAGATGACCTACATACAAGAGAACACCCCAGTGGATACTGTGGTGTTCGTTGCCCAAGCTACTGATGCAGACAGCGGGCCCAACAGCTATGTGGAATACGCCCTTAGAGGAACTTATGGGAACAAATTTAGCATTGGAACCATTGACGGAAACGTTAGACTGGTCGGGGAATTGGACAGAGAAGAACTTTCCAACTATACTTTGACTGTGATGGCTACAGACAAAGGAGAACCTCCGCTTTCGTCGACAATGGATGTGACGATGATTGTGTTGGATGTAAACGACAACACGCCAAGTTTTTCGCAAAATATCTACGACATTGAGATTGAAGAGAATATCCTAACGGGAACTGACATCATTCAAGTTTTTGCTAGTGACTCAGATGAAGGCACAAATGGACAGATCCGTTTCTCAATGGAAGGGGGCAACAGCGACTTTAGGATTGATTCTGTAACGGGTGTGATTTCAGTGGCCAAGCAGTTAGACAGGGAGACCAAATCTTCGTATTCGCTGGTGGTGCAAGCGTCAGACAGAGGAAGCACCCCCAGAGTGGATAAGGCAGCAGTGAACATCGTCCTGCTGGATGTGAATGACTGCGTACCTGAGTTTGAGCTGTCTCCTTACAGCGTCAGTGTGCAAGAAAATCTGCAAGATCTACCCAGAAATATTCTTCAGGTCAGTACCACACTGTCTCAATTTCAACAGCCTACTTTGATTGACTTTTATTCTAAGATGAATGTGCCTTGCAACCACTTACCTTCTGTCATTCTATCTACACAGTGTGTCGTCTTCAGGTCTAGTTAATTCTAAATCATTTAAACTAAACTAAGGTCAATAACATCACAGGCATTTTTTTGCATCACTTATCTCTCAAACCTTGCATATGTCTGGTAGTGCAGTCTAAAGCTGTGTTCCCACTATTATGCGTTGCAGCGAGTTTCAATTCAAAGTCGATGGTGACGTCTGCCCATTCGAGGTATTGCATGTACGTCGCTGCATGCACCTTTGTCCCGTGCGGCAGATGTGTTGTTTCGGTGCGGCAGAGGCGGTGGGTACGGCGGCACGATGCATGCAGTGAACGCAGGAGATGAGATTCACTGAACGTCTTCGCTCCACACACGTGCAGCAACCAATCAGAGAGCAGCAAAAGTGGTTATGGGGAGACACACCGATCAAAATAGGAAGATGAAGACACTCGAAATCAACCAAACAGTAGCTAGACCAGGATTAAACCAGGGCTGATAATGGGGGACGCGGTGCTTGTGAACAATGTCAATGTAAACAAGTGCTGCTAGCGTGTGCAGCGATACGGAAGTAACGGTTATTATTAAACTCGTTAGCATCAGAGCCCGCCCACCACTTCCACCCTGTATTTTTTTCCCCATCGCAGGATAGTGCAACAGATTGACTAAACTCATGCAGCTGAAATGTAGTGAACATACGTCAGTGCATCGGTGGTGGGAACACAGCCTTCAAACCCCTCTACTCTTTAGGATAATTCTAGATGGAGTTTTGTTTAACCATTTGTAACTATTGTAACTATTTGTAGTTATAATAGTTGTTTTCACATCAAATGTTCAAAGATGAAATGTCATTGTAATATATCCAAGAACAGTTTGGCTGCTGCCAAAAATGTGACCAGTCCTCGTGATTAAGAGGTTGAAATTGATACAAATAGTTTAATAGAGTAATAATACGTCCACATTCAGCAGTAAAGTTACACAAGCATTAAAAAAAAATACATGTTGATTTTACTTATTGTTTCAAACTCCAAAATATGCATGCTATGAAAGAAACGTTTCAATGTCTTATTAGACATTGTCAGTGACCCTTAACACTTTCTATATATCTGTCATTTGTGCAGAACATTCAATCATATAGAGTGGAATCTTATCCGTCAAACTGTCACATGAAGGAGATTTTCTTAGCCAACAGTGGAGTTCAGTAGGCTTTTCTTTTTCACATTTCATGCGGAACACAGTAGAACATTGCTTGGACAAAACTGCAAAGGAAACAGGAGATCTTGGCCTTTGCATGGTCACATTTAATAACATACAACCCGATTCCTACAACTCAATCTTCTCTTTGGTAAACTAGTTCATAGCTATTACTGGAAGGATGTTTTCAGCAGTAGTACATACGCAGAAGTACTTCCACATAAGTGAAAAGAAGACCATTTGAATGACAGTCCTGGGACTTCTAATGGGCTAATGCTTAGACTAAATTCCCTAACCCAATAAGAGAAGGTATGTCAGCAGTATCAATGTACCCAATCACTTAGCAGGACCATTGCGTTTAGCTATACACTTAAGGCAAGGAAACAATAAAGGCATGAAAAATGACTTCCATTTGTTGTGCACAATTAGCATTTGACAGGAATCCAGTGAAATATAAAACTTGGTTAAATTAAATGAAAAGGCAATTAGAGCCACAAGCACTTTGATGAGGAAATGAGGCGTACATAAAGAATGGGGCGAAGAAGTAGTTTCCAGTGACGGAGCAGTTCGGCTGTGCATTGAGCTGAGCTGGGTCTCAGGAAATGGGCCTGTATTTGGGGAGAGGGAAGAAGGCCAGATTGTGGGATTGGTCCAACTCCACACACGCAGAGGGTTAACCTGAGTATGGAGACCGGAGCAGGCACGGAAGGCTCAAGAACCGACGCTGTTTCAGATGTGAGAGTGCGATAGGCCGGTCCTGGATCCAACTTGGGCTTTTTGAAGTTTGGATAAATGTAATTACATGAGACTGGATGAAATTGTGCATGCATTTTGTAAGTATTGTCAGATGAGAAACACAAAAAATCAACCAGGCTGAACGTTATCCAACCACACTCAGTGAGATTATTCAATTCAATTCAATGTATTTTTGTACAGTCCTAAATTACGATTTGCCAACACAGATAAGAAGAATAAAACAGTTCAAACACAGGAAATGCAATGATTAAATACACATATAGAGCTATTGGTCCATGAGGGGCAGAGACCAATGTCCATAAATGTTTATACATGTCCCTAAATGTCGCTGAATGTCGATTGTCCTGGATCATCACCATTGCCCTTAGACCCTTCTGCAGATTATCACAACAAAGTTTCTCATCATTTTGCAATATTGGAGATTACTTCTTCATCATGGTCCAAAAACCTTCTCCAAATTAATTGAATACCTTCCAAGTGACTTTTTTTTTTTCTTAGGTCTCCTGTTTGCAAAAAGAACGAGGGGAACTAGAACTAGAACAAAATATGATGTGATGCAGAGGTTTAGTCTTTATATAAATAAAACTATTGTAGGCATTGTTCTGAAGGAGACATAACTTATACAATCTTTTGACCATGTTAATATGATTTTCCATCGTTATGTGCAGACTCACACATCTGTGAAAATGATTTGTATTACGTTAAAGAAGAAAAAAAAATTGGTTTTATATTGAGTCTATTCTGATTCTAATTCTATGTACATTGGCAGTGTGAAACTGTTTTTTAACTATAAAATATATAGATTAACTACATAGATAGTCTAGATAAAACAGATAATAGGATGAATGAATGGCAAAAGAGAAAGTTCTGGACAAGCCCATCCGTCAATGTTTCGACTTTTTTTTGAATTTTTTGAATTAGGTCAATACAAAAATCCATGCTATAGTTCATTTCCATTGTTAAGTACACACTCACAGTTGTTTTAGAATCCTGCCCGTCTATTCTCCCTTTTCAGTCACTTGCTAAATTGATCTGCTTACAGACTCACTAACAGACTCATTACTCTGAACATTGTAATGTGTGACCTTGGTCTCTAAAAATGTGTACTTATTTACTTACTCACACACTCTGCCTAAAAAAATTGCCTAAAAGCTTAGGACTATTTGAGATGATGATTTTTTATGTTGTCGGCAGGTTGTTGCCAGAGATGACGACCAGGGCGCGAACGGTCAGCTCAGCTACATGCTCAGCGGTGGGAACGACGACGGAGCCTTCAGCCTGTCCTCCAGTGGTCAGCTGAGCCTGAGCCAGAGCCTGGACAGAGAGGCTCATGGGAGATACAGCCTGCTCATCACAGCCACCGACTCCGGTATGAACACACTGTGGGAGGGGGATGGATAGTACCGAGCTTTACTGTCAGATTCAAATGCTACATGATCAATAATGTTAGGGTGGACTTCTGACAGTGTTGACAGAGCTTATTTGTATTTCAATTGTTGTAAAAGGAAAGCAGAATACTAACGTGGGGTCATCGGCACCGGTTTTGACCTATATTTGTTGCCGATTTGAGTACTTTGCAGCTAATCACAAACATTCGTTAGAAGAAGAAGAAAAAGGTCAGTTTTTAGTCCCACAATGGGGAAATTTCAGTTTGATGCATACACACACACATACACACACATACACACATATACATATACACATCAAGGCAAGCGTCGAACATTACTTCCACGCTCCTTATAGGCAAAGTGGGTTAAGTGTCTTGCCCAAGGACACAACGACAGGAGTGGGAGATGGTAGAGAAGGTGGTGGGCTCGAACCCACGACCTTCGGGCTCAATGCTCTACGTACCAACTGAGACACTGCCGCCCCACCCAAAACATATGCTTAGTTTTTATTTATTTAGCCTAGTCATTAACTTAAATTGGATTATATCACATCAAATACAGGTAAAAATGTGTTACTAGGGAGAATTTCCTTTTTCTTTTTTTTTTCATATACATGCTTTGGTCAATATTTCCACTTAGTGTTCAAGGAGGCCAATAACCAAAATTTAGAAGTATAGATATCGGTATCAGCCCTGAAAAATCCATATCGACCCACCCCTAATTCTAACAGTTTATACGCTTTAACTCCACAGTATTATTGATATTGCACGTGGAATTTTTTACTCATTACGAGCCTATAATTCCATGTGCAATATCAATAATCAGCATCCAATTACTAGCCTTTCTGTCCATGTGTGGGATGTTTTCCCAAATGATAAAAAAGTTGGAGAAGACCAAACCAAGCACAAGAAGTCCTTTTCTCGCCTTTACAAACATCACTGCATTATCCACTTTACACGACCTAATAATAATGCTAATTCTCCATGATGTTTCACTTCGACATTTGAACCAGATTCTAACACGCATTTTCAACTATATCTACTTTGGCTTTTCTCATCTTTTCTCAGCATTATGACATCATTTGAACGCAGTATCTCGTCTGCCCTTTCAGCAGAGTCATTTGCTTGCGTTCTAACCACATTCACTTTTCACCGGCTGCTGAAGGCTGGTGTCGTGTATCCCAAAGACCGGCATTCTGTAATCAACCAGTAAAACCAAAGCTGAGTAAGAATATAGCCACAAAACAGCAGAGTCGACCATTTCTCTTTGTGGAGGACTATAAACGACTTGACATTTATTTAGCAACCCAAAAGTGCTTTCTCCAGGTTTGATTGAATGTGGCCCACTGTTTATTTGGATACAGTGGTAGAGCTGGTTATAGCCAGATAAAAGGTTTACTTGTTATTGCGTAGGGGCCAGTTAATGTGCAGTTAAAGCAGTACATGCATATCCTTGTTGCAGCCAAATCACATGCTGTCCTGGATAAGTATACGCTTCTCTTCAGCCACTTTGAGGCAGTGACCGTGGGCTCATTCCATGTGACCGGTCGTAATGTCGGGTATTTTTGAGTGTGGACAGGCTTTTGGTGAGAATTGGGACAAAGTTACTTCTCAATAGATCTTTGCTCGGACACAAACATTTGAATTGTGTTTTGTGTTGAATTATTTAAGTAATGAAAGGGGTATTTGTATGTCGTACTACAGCTTTTGTGACAAATACCACAACTTCCACTAATTATTACGACCATATTCATACTTCTTCTACATCTGTTAAAAATCTTTATCATGTCAAAGAAGAAAACATATCTATTATTTATATTGAGTCTATTCTGATTCTTCTGATTCTATGTTCTTTGGCTGTGTTGGGAAAGTTACTTATCTCGTTACTCGTTACTTCTTTAAAAAAGTGTCCTGTTACTAAACGAGTTTGAACTCTTTTTTTACTCTCTTGAAGATATTAGTTTCTTTTTTATTTTATTTTATCAGACTTTTTCACCACGCAGGATATTAAAAATTAAAATAAATTTGACTAAATTCCGTACAACGCTCGAGGGCGGATTGGTCGTATGCTGACCCCTTCTCTCCCTCACATGGACTATTCCAACCACTGTCACTTAAACCTGCACTGATAAATGTCTATTGTGCGTGTTTGCATAAAGTTGTAAATTCAAGACATTCTATGAAGATTTTTTATATTTTGTCATGCAATCCTTATACTTATTTTTGCTTGTATAACTTGTTTGCACTTTGAGCGAAAGCAAATTCCTAGTTTGTGACTTCCTGTTACTTACAATGGCAGTAAAAACTATTCTGATTCTGATAAACAAACTTTCCGTACCCTCCAGAGAAAGTGTAGTGACCATAAAAACTGAAACGGTTCCTACACGCCTTACGGCAGCAGTCTAAATTACCCAGCAGAGTAAGAGTGTCACATTTTTGAGGGCAGACTGGAGAGCAGGGATTCAGTTATCCTCAGGAAATGTTGTAGGTGCATGGTGCAGACATGTCTCCCAAACGGCTGTCTTTCATAAACCCTCCTCGACCACAACCATCCATCTCGCGCCGACTCTATCTTTTCAGGCCACTGCTCTTTTTCACTTGCTCCATTCCGAACCGCTGTGTGTTGTGAGAGGAAAACGTTCAGGATTTATCACGCACTGCCTTCTCCATTTTAAGCCCAAAACTGGAGCCAGGTCTTGGGGCTACATGAGCTGTTTGTGTTGGACTGTCATTCTGGATGTTATGTTTGTCATACGCCTGGAGAAGAGGCCCTTAAGGTCTACTTAAGGGCAGAATCAAGGCTCAATGACAAAAAATAAATAGAGCTATTGATTCATGAGGGGCAGATGTCTATAAATGTTGATAAATGTCCATAAATGTTGAATGTGGAGTGTCCTGGATCATCACCACTGTCCTTATGATTTTTACATAGACGTACAATACTTTTCATAGTGGTCGGGCAAACCGGCGCACCTGGAAGACACAGGCAGAACATGCAAACTTAGATCCTGCTTCATAGATCCAGGGCTGAGGCTGTAGATCCAGGACTGTGGCTGTAAATCCAGGACTGAGGCGGTCGATCCAGGACTGAGGCGGTCGATCCAGGACTGAGGCGGTCGATCCAGGACTGAGGCTGTAGATCCAGGACTGTGGCTGTAGATCCAGGACTGTGGCTGTAGATCCAGGACTAAGGCGGTCGATCCAGGACTGAGGCGGTCGATCCAGGACTGAGGCGGTCGATCCAGGACTGAGGCGGTCGATCCAGGACTGAGGCTGTAGATCCAGGACGTAGGTTGTAGATCCAGGACTGAGGCTGTCGATCCAGGACTGAGGGAGGTCTGAGGCTGTAGATCCAGGACATAGGTTTTATATCCAGGACTGAGGCTGTAGATCCAGGACTGAGGCTGTAGATCCAAAACTGAAGCTGTAGATCCAGGACTGAAGCTGTAGATCCAAAACTGAAGCTGTAGATCCAGGACTGAAGCTGTAGATCCAGGACTGAGGAGGCTCCCAGGCGGGTAGACGGGGTGCAGCCATCCCAGTAAACCAAACAGAAAAAAACAGCTCTTCTGCCCACACCGAACTCAACCCTTTCTGTTTGGAGTCGATCTTTTGGCCTCCAGTCGTTCTAAAAGGCTGCACTTTGACAGAGTTACAAGGAAAACAACGCTCACCTGGTGCATGGTTCTCATAATGCACTTGGCACTGATCTCAGCGCTTTCATTATTCCAATATATGAGCACGGCCCTAAAATACAGCATTCCTACGGGCTCTATTAATGTGTTTTACAAGCAGAAACCTGACCATCAGACCAGGCCTCTTTTCCCTCTACCTTGCCTTTGTTTATTAAATTTTTCGGAGCATTTTTGAACGCAGATAAAGGGTGATGTTATGGAGGATTTGGTCTGCCTCAGGTTCTTCCATAGAATTAGGATCAGCTGTGGAGGCCGGTAACTATGAGTATGCCTGTTGGGGGAAAGTAAATCAGTGCGATATCCAACTGAGAGCAGCCGTAAAATATGATGTTTGGCTGGTTCTTTATGAGCGGCTGTAGTTTCCCATCATTTTGATAAGCCTTCGAAGCTTCATCAGTGCATTAGCTGAATTTATGTTTGTACTGTACTAAGAACCAAGATTCACTCACTATCAATCACTTTCTGTTATATTTATATCGTTCAAACTGTAATTTAAAGCGGGGTAGCTGCATTTTTTCACTTCTGAATATTGCAGCAGGTCAGAAAGAGTCTTGTAAAAACAAAATTATGTGGACGAATCAAACTAAAACATTCTGTCTTCATCATATTAGAAAATATTTAAAATTTTGCCAACTTGTAAGAAGCGTGAATCTCTAGGCTAAGAGCTGATTGGTTGAATTAGGGTGGTCCTCTTTTTTCAATTTTCTGTCTGAAAAAGAAGCCAAACTGATGGATTTTATTACACAATGCCAATTTTTGTGGTTTTAAAGTTAGGTACCCCAGCTTTAAGAATAGTAATTTGGCATACTTTTAACTAGGGATGTACTGATCCTACTTTGTACACGTTTGGTACCGATATTTAATGCCAGTGTCACATTAGTGTATTTCTACTTAATAATATTTGGGAAACGGGCATTTTGGCTTTTTGCTGGATCATTGTGATGCAAAACACACACTTTACACACATTGGAAATTTTACTAATAGGGTGTTTTGAAGGATTTTTTTCCATTTAATAATGCAGTAAAAAAGCACTCACAGAGCACAGACCTCCGCCGAAAGGCACTGTTCAATTCCCTCAAAAATATGCTGCATCCAAACAGTGATTCTCTGTTGTTTACGACAATTGTTGTTGGTGTATTCCTGATGTGGTCTAAATCCTCCCAATCCTTCTTTACTGTACTTGTATTATCTGACATCAGTTTTTGATTGTGTCAAAATATTCTGTTGTTTGGACTAATATACTGTAGCTGGTGAGATGGTAAACATTTGTCATTCAGCCAACTTCA